GTTAATTTGGGAGAATGCCGCAACCCCAACCAAATCATCCAATAATTCAGCAATCATCAGTTTTTCCGCGAACTCTACATCAATCTTTTACATGCTATATAACTCGATTAAGAATCCTAACCCTATGCCTTGAATTGACCTCACCATGGTCTTGAGCGTCACCAAAATCTTGCACAAATTGGGTTCACCGTGAAGCACCACCATCTTGTGTCCCTTTTGAATACTTTGCAGTGTCAAAATTAGACCGTTACAAACTCTCCTGCTCGTCTCGACTTATCCCGTTCCGTTCTCATCATTACACTTGAATCACCTTCCACCCGGAAGGGTGCAACAACAAAGGACACAACCACGGTTGGATGCAACCCTCAACTTCAATTCGAGAGGTGGGCAATCTCTCTCTCCTAAAACCCTAATCCTAAGAATCAGGACCACAATTTCATGCATGCCCTTATCCTAACCTATTAAGCCCTATTTATACCAAACAATAATAAATAACAAAAGACTAAATTGCTTGTAGGCACCGGTGTAACAAAGGACTTTTTGAGAATGTCTGTAAGGATCTCTGCCTAGGAAAAGAAGCATCTTCCTACCTTTTTAGCATATTAACCATTTCATCATTTTTCTAAATAAAAAATCAGAAGCATCGAGAAATTCAAAGCTTTGCAAAGATTTTTTGTCTTCCTCTATAGATTTAAGGACAGACATAACAATCTTACAATTTTTATCTCTCTTGGTGAAACAGGACAACAACTCTCTTATTCCTTCTCCATCCATACTAGAAAAAATAACGTTTCTACATTTTTTTTTTGTTTTAATTCATTCTTAGCCCATACAGTTGGAAGAAATGTAACAACTAGGTTACCTCTATGTTTGTAGCTAGGATGATGAGAGTGACAGTCAAGATGGTTCCTAGGAGATCAAACCACCTCATAAAAAAATCTATCGTTTTTTTCTTTTTATATTATCATAATTTTGGTAATGACCTTTTTTTGAAGATTCTTTACAAGCCCTCTTAATCCCTTTTTTTCATACCTCTCAGAATGAGTAATTATTAGAGAATATTATCCATCTATCTTCCTCAAGAGTTGGGCAATGAGAAGGGATGGGCAAGCTATTGACTTTAGCAAATATGAGCTAATTAAGCTCGAGGTTAGATTAAATTTGAGGCTTAAGTGTGGAGTTCCTTTTTGTTTAACAAGAAAACTAAGTATAAAGTCAGGCGCTAAAACAAATACATATTTAAGTTCAATGCAAGTATATTTTCAATGGATACTCTTCATCTATATCATCATTAGGAGGGGACTTTAAGGTTTTTTATATTGTTTATATGACTTTTATCTGTTTTATGAAGATTCCAGAGATCTACTCGGACTTCGATATTGGAGGAAAGACCTTAGGTGATATTAGGGGAACCGTTTGTTTGGCTAGACTGAGGCAACCAACGATAATTTTAACAACAATTTTATAAAGTGGATTATGACTAGCTTGAGGCTTCTACTTTGTTCATAATGAGGGATACCCTTATCAACAAAGGCTTCAATATCTTAATCTGTCATCAACTGGCTTATAATGATTTATACTCTTATGATGATGTACACTGTGCTGATTAACAATATCTACTCTAGGAGCTTACCTTAATGGATGCTATTTGTCATATTGTAAAAGAATCTATTTGATTACTAACTTCATAAAATTTAGCCCTAATGTTGTTAAATATCACATTTATCATTTTTTTTTGGGTCCAAGTTCTCTTGGCTTTTGAGGATCCATGATGAAAATATGCAATGACAATCATGCAACTAATAGGATGTGCAACCTAAATGGAATGATATAAATAAATTATTATGCTGACAATCGAAATTAAACACATGCAGGAATCATGTTCAATTACTATGAACTTAGTTCATGTAAAAGAAGACAATATTCAATTCAACTAAGTTTAGTTCATATCATATGGTTTGCACCATTTAAGCTTTAATCCCAAGATAATTTACTTACTCTAAATATAAAGCTGAGATAATTCACCCCAATTTATTTTAGTAGTGATAAGCTTTTAATGGACAGTCTGCTCTTGGGTATGTGGAATTTCTTTGGTATAGTTCGAAGCATTACACGAGACATAATTTAATCCAGACTTCTAAGCTAAAGATTATACCTTTTAGAAGCTCAATCAAAACTCTGTTTTCCACAAATTGTGCTTCTATGGAGGCTAGATATTCTTGATGATGCATTAGGAATGTCTCGTTATCTGGAAGGGAGTAGATGTCATGCTAAACTATTTTCCTCACACTTGGTGGATGATGCTTAGTTTAAAGGGGTTTGAAGTGGCAAATGGTAGCTAGAGGCAGTCAACTGTTGCTCAGAGTGTGGTCAACAAAAGCATTGACAATATTCAATGAATGCTATAGGATTTTGCAAGGACTAGTTGGAGTTACTAAAAAATAGTGTAATATAGAAATGCAAGGTACAAGTCATAGCAAAGGCATATGGAAGGAGGATAGTCTTTTATGTGGAACTAATTAGGAACTCATGGGCTTCCCTCTGATACTAAAATTGGTGCAATATGGCGTAGGAGGAATCACTAAGACTATAGAAATACAATTGGGTGTTTTTTTTTTTTTTTGACCAAGTTACAAAGATGTAGTTTTTTTTTTAGAACCGTGGAAATTGAAACTTTGATCTGCTTCAATATGTCCAGCTAAAATTATATTTGAAATTTTAGATTTTTGAATAATGGTTTATCAGGATTGGCGTGGTTTTATGTGAAGGAAAATAGGAGAATTTTCAAGGATGTCGATATAGGAAGAGGGGGGGGGGGGGGGGGGGGGGGGGGAGGGGAAGAGAGTTTAGAATGAGAGAAGCAAATTAAGAAGAAATTTAGGAGAGAATTTAGGAGAGGGACAAAGGATGAAACAAAGAAAACTAATCTGAAACATGAGAAGAGAAATTGCAAGGGAGAAGAAGCGTCGTAAGGGGCAAAATTTGAGAGGGGAGGAGGGAGAGAGCAAAATTGGAGAATTAGAAGGTAGTGAGAGAGATGTCAATAAGTCGGAAAAAAAAATCAAATACACCTATCCAGCATAATAAGTCTAAGAGGCCTCTTTTTATTGAACAAAAGGCCCTTAGGACATTTTCAAAATATCCCTAATCCATTTGAGTTTTAAATAGTTTAAATGCTAACAGTTTTAGGACAACTAATTAAATCAAAACTATAATCAATCTTGCCAATGATCTTGCACATGCATCTTAATCAGATGGTCCCTTGAAGGTGCAATAATTTTAACATGTAAACTAATATGTTATTTATTATCATTGAATAATTTAATTAAATTCTTGCTTAACTTTTTACCAAAATTTTTTAATGATATAATAATTTATAGACAATTAATATTTGACTACAAAATTTTCTACCCTTGGAAAATATTCAACCATATTATAGTCATCTTAGTTAAAATTTTTAATTAATTATGTGGTTGCTCTGTATAATTCAAGAATATAAAGATTGTTCTTTAAGGATATGTTTATGTCATTCAGTACCGAATGTCTTATTCTAATGTATACCTACCATGTGTTGTCCAAAATCATGCACAACAGTCAGGAATGTGGTTCACCAGCAATATTCCAAATGGCTAATGATTGTTGAAATTTTCTAGAAGGTAGTCAGTGTAGCAAGCCAACTGCTGCAAGTTTAATCACGAGATCAAACCTAATATATGTTGAACATATATTTTCATTACTATAATTAATAATGCAATGTGGATGCATCATCAGATACTCGTACATAAAGCCTTTGAACTTTCTTAAGCTAAATTTCTATGGTAACATCCAAACACATGAAAGTATATTAATAACTCTAAATACACATCTATTCTTACATAAATCTGTCTAATGTAGAACCTAAAAATTTCATATATTTTATCAGTAAATATCAATAAGCCAAAATAGAACACCAATACCCTAGCATGCTATTCATAAATGCACAAACAAAGTGATATCTGTGCCAAGAAACTGTACCCATATTCTCATATCACATAATATGGGCAAAGTAAGAGGTGATGAATTATGAGCTGTGTCCTGCTACGCTCATATCATTGTGATTACGCCAGACTTAATTTTTCAATTACATTCACATTTGCTAGCATTTAGAATCATATAATGTGGAGGAATTAAAATTATGTAACTGTTTTAGTATATGCAGCAGTTCAAATATGTGTTAGTATTTATATTAACTCAAATCGTAGGTCATTCTATTTTGCACCCATGACTTATTTCTTTTAATATTGATACATGAAATAACATTTGGTTAGACGTATTTTTGAATGCCCAACATCCCATTTCCTCTGCAAAAGTTAAACCAGAATGGTAGAATCGTCATTATGATGCCCATCAGCTACTTTTCCTTAAAAAAGGAGCAATCATTGAATAATTACTTAAACACCCTCTCTAAAAAGAGGTTATTTCTTTCTACCCCCCTTCATAAAAATAGAGTCCATTCATCTTATATCATATCCCTATTGTCATGATACCATCTTATTAATGCTCTTGCCACAAGTGCTTTTTCTCTCAATCATTTGAGTTACGTTCATCAACTTACTATCTTATGGAGCATTTCAAGTAAGACACCCTCAGACTCCACTTATGGATATAAATATATAGCTTTTTTTTTCCATGTATGGTGGAAACCATGGCCTCAATATACCCCTCAGTACTCCTATCCTAAGCCAGCTTTAATTACATAGAACCGTTCCTTAATTATCATCTTCATCAACCATTTCACCTATCCAGAGTGAGCTCACTATCTTGTAGTTAGCATTATTGTCGTGCCATCCATGCACTTGTAATTAATAAATTTACTAATAAATTTCATCATTAACTTTGTATTTTAACTTCAAAAGTTTATTTACAAATGAATCCTTGTTTATTATTTAATATCCACACTAGGATTTATTTGGCTTATGCATTTTGTTATATGATTTTGTTTAGTTGATTTGATTTTGCAGACAAGAGGCTGGTCAATTGAAGGATTACTGAAATTAAGGAACATGTTTGGTTATGGTGACATCTGGAATGCTGCAGGGGCATATAGTTGGGACCATACAACTGAGATGAGTGCTGGGCTGTCCTTACCCAGATTTAAATCACTATCAACTCCTCTAAGCGCTCGTGTCAACCTCATTACGCAAGATTGGTTGAAGTTTTCATCCTATAAAGAGCATCTACTTGGCCTTTCATTTGGTTTGGTTTCCACGATTCGTCATGATTTGACTTACAGTCTCACATGGCGTCACTTAACAGATCCCTCTCACATGTCATCCTTATCAGTAAGAAGGCAGCTAGGACATAGTCTTCTTTCATCTCTAAAGTATTCATATAAGCTTGATCGGAGAAATTCGATTATCAGGCCTACGAAAGGTTATGCTTTTCGCTCTTCATCTCAAGTTGGTGGCCTTGGACCTGATGGTAATCTTTTGAGATATATAAGACAGGTATGACAACACTCCCTACTTGGCATGTATTCGACTCTTTTATTTCAATTTCTTTTTATGTTACCATGTAATACATTTCCATTCGTGACAATCTAGTATTAATTTTGATAATTTTGCAATGTAAGGGAGAGTTGAGGACAATGTGATAGATTTTATTTTTTAAAAATTGCCAAGGAGAAGAGATTGAGCCTATAACCGAGGGTTGCATCAAGTTGAGTTCGAGTGAGCCAGCATGAATTCAAAATAAGAAAAAGTTGATTTGACTCGAGTTAAGTTCAAGTACAATTAAAAACTATTCTCTTAATTATAAAATCCAAATTCTAAAATTGTAAAATAAAAATAAAGATGCTTATACGTAAATACAAACATCTATAATGTAGGCATGTATTTATTCAAAATAGAGGTCTTGAGTTTGAGTAATGGAAGTAGCTTATCTTAAATGCAGGTGTATGGTTGTGTAAATCACTCTCTTCAGATCCTTCATTGACTGGAGCTCGTTGCGTAGGGTTACTAGTTAATGAGATGCTAGGATAGGTGCAACATAAATATAGTTAGGAGGAATTTGATGAAAATTAGATGGACATCAAGGACAAGAGTGGCCACTCAAACATAAAAAAAGAAGGAATTATTCAAAAAACCTACTTTGTACATTCATAATATGAGCTTAAATAGGGTATTTCAATATTTTACACATAAACCATTAGACTTCTTCAATATTCTCCTTTTTATGCCCTAAATAAGGTTTATTTCTCAATACTCCATCCACTAAGCCCATCTTGTCACATAACCTAGACAAATTTAATGAAATATGTTCTTTAGTGAGGCAGACAACCACTTGCTCTCCAGTGGCTGCATGACTTAGCTCCAACAACTTGTTATTCAACTTTTACTTGTTGAAGAATCTATCAATCTCCACATATTTGGTTCTATCGTGTTGTGCCAAGTTGTTGGCAATGTTGATTGCTGACTTATTGTCGCACCCCAACTTCATTTGGGTTTCTTGGTCCACCTGGAGCTTGACTAACAAGGTTCTCATCCACATCATCTCCTCAACTCCTATGGCCATGGTCTTGTACTTTGCCTCTGCTGTGGACCTTGCTATTAGAGACACTTTCTTGCTCTTCCAAGGGACCAAGTTGCCCCCTACGAACATGCAATGTTTTGAGGTGGATCTTCTGTCATCTATCAACTAGCCCAATCAGCGTCACAAAAGCCTTCAATCTCTACATGTCTATTGTTCTTGAAAGTCAACCTCTTCCCTAGTGCTCTCTTTAAGTACCTCAGAACTTGATAAATTGCATCCATATGACCCTTCCTTGGATCATGCATGTAGCGGCTCACCATGCTCACTGCAAAAGATTTGTCAAATCGAGTGTGACATAGATAGATCAGACAACCCATCAATCTATGACACCTCTCACGATCAACTGGTTTTCCTGCCGTTGCGCTCAGCTTGGTCTTCTGGTCAATTGGAGAGACTGCAGATTTGCACCCAAACATGCTAGTTTCTGTAAGGAGATCTAGTACATACTTCTCTAGGGCAAGACCATCCTCTTAAGTCCACGGGTAGTTTCAATCCCAAGAATGTATCTGAACTATCCAAGATCCTTCACTTCAAATTCATTGCCCAGTTTTACATTTAGTTAGGTAATCTTTGTTTCATTATTACTGGTGATAATGATGCCATCAACATATACAACAAGTATAGTGGTGCGACCTTCTCGTTGTCGAAAGAACGCTATATGATATATATTGATTTGCTGCTATCTCATGCTCACAAACATGCCAGTTTCTGTAAGGAGATCTAGTACATACTTCTCTAGGGCAAGACCATCCTCTTAAGTCCACGGGTAGTTTCAATCCCAAGAATGTATCTGAACTATCCAAGATCCTTCACTTCAAATTCATTGCCCAGTTTTACATTTAGTTAGGTAATCTTTGTTTAATTATCACTGGTGACAATGATGCCATCAGATATACAACAAGTATAGTGGTGTGACCTTCTCGTTGTCGAAAGAACGCTATATGATATGTATTGATTTGCTGCTATCTCATGCTCACCACAGCCTTTCTAAAATTATTAAACTAGACTTGAGGAGACTGCTTCAAGCCATACAGTGACTTTTGAGCCCGCACAACTTGCCCATTGTTTGAATTGTACTGAATCCTAATGGCATATATCCATATATACCTCATTCAATAACTGACTGTGAAGAAATGCATTCTTCACATCAAGTTGGTGTAACCTCCACCCACCATTCAGTGTCAGTGGAACCAACGTCATCACTGTGCTTATCTTTTTTACTGGTGTAAAGGTTTTATCATAGCTAATGCCATATGTCTAACTATATCTTTTCGCCACCAGTCGTGGTTTGTGCGCTTCACCTTCGCTTTTGGAGTTTATTTCACTATAAAAATCCACTTGCACCCAACTTCTTTTTTCCTTACTCATAGTGGCACCATCTCTCATATTTGGTTTTTAACGAGAGCTCTAAGCTCTTCATGCATAGCCACTTTCCACTTGTGATTCTCATTAGCAGCATGCCAACACTTGGATATAGAGGGAGTGTCTAAAGATGCAACTAATGCTCTATGTGAATGTGATATATTATAATATGAAACAAAATTAGCAATGTCATGCTCCCGCCCAAATGATCGGGAAGATGTCCAACATTACTGCTAGAGATCCTCCTTAAAGTTGGGGGGTTAGTAGAAGGAGGAATCGTATGTTCTGGGCGTTTTGAGTCGAAGTGGATGGTGTTGGTGTATTAGGAGTCGGGGAAGATTGTGATAAGGGACTAGCTCACACAAGTGACACTGCAGACACCGTTCCCTCATGTTGCTTCTTTCTTCATGTATATACCCTTAGCTCATATTCAGCCTGAATCCCATCTCTTCTGGGTTCACTCTTCTCATTTTTCGGTTCCTCAACTGATTCATACCATGTCACAAGAAAAACATTGCTCCCATGTGTACCACTCTCTCATCATTGCCACTCTCTCTCCATTGCCTCATTTCTCCAATATCTGGCAAGGCACCGAAGGATGAGGTTAACCCTTGAGAGTAGTATGGTTCAAATTCTCTAAAGTACACATCTATGCTCACAAATAGTCTCTTCTATATTGGGCTCAAACAGACATACCCCTTATGGGTAGCAGAATAACCTATGAACACACATTCCACAGATCTGGGATTCAGCTTCCCTCTTGATGATCTGTTATCCTTCACAAAACATACACATCTAAACACCTTCAATGGGAAGATCCTGCTATTATCTTATTTCAACTTCAAATAAGGAGACTTTCAATCCAACACCCTTAAGAGTATTCTGCTGATCAATTGAGTAACTGTCAAAACTATTTGCCCTCATAAATGCTTTGGGACATTCATTGTGATCATTATGCTTCAGATTACCTATAGAAGGTATCCATTTTTTTCTTTCTGCTACTCTATTTTGTGTCGGTGTGTATGGACATCTGGTTTGATGTTGTATTCCTTGGGCTGACAAATATTTCCCAAATGTTTTGTTGGTATACTTTGTGTCATTATCAGATTTCAATTCTATAACTACTGCATTGAATTGAGTTTGGATTGCCTTGTAAAAGTCTTTAAAGCAATAAAACACCCCACCATTATTTTTCACTAAGTATAACCTAGTTGCATGATAAAAACAATCAATAAAGGTGAAAATATCAATAATCATTCATAGAACTTGTAGCATATGATCCCCAAATATCAAAATGTATCAAGTTAAAAATATCAAAAATCTTATTCTCATAATTGATATAAGAGCTATTAGTAAGCTTACCGAACTCACAAACATCATAAAACAACTTCTGTTTATTTGCCCTTTCATACAAAAAAGGATACAACTGACTCGATAAATTAAAATAAGTGTCACATGCGTTTGTGATATAGCAACAACACATTCTCCACACTCCTAGATTCTCCTACTCCAACACTCTCTAGCATAGATGTTAAAGCAAAGTTCATCTCCCATGGTTAAAGTATCGGAGTCAACTATATCACATTCCAGTCTCTCTTTCTCTCGTAAGATCACCTTAGGAATATAAAAAGAAAGAACACATTTTAGTTGGAGAATAATGACACTAATAGATTAAAGGTTCATTGGAAAAAGATCATGGAAAATATTGGATAAATTTATATAATTGTTATCTTTCACTGTATTCTTACCAACTACAAGTTGTGCTGCATTATCAACAATCTGGATGCTCTTTAGTAAGGGCTGTTAAAAAAGCTCGTCGTTCGCGAATAACTCGTGTTCGGCTCATTAAGTTGCTAGATTTATTCGTTAAGCAAACGAGTCGAACACAAACAAAAGTTTGTCCATTTGTGTTCGGTTTATTTTGACTCGAAATAATTTAAAAATTTTAAAATATAAATTTCTTTGTCATTTTAATATTATATATATATATATATAGTCCTACGTTTACATTTGCCTCGATGTTAGAAATGTAATTTCATAGGAATTGTCTGCAAGTAAAAATCCAAACAAAAAAAATTAAAAAAGGGAAGAATGTCACGTATGAGTGGGACATAGCCGAACAACCCAAAAGCTTTGAAAACAGGAAAATTTGTGTAGTTCCACATCTCTTAGGGAAGTTTTTTTACACTTTTAGAGTAGTTTAAAAACATAAAAGCTCACACGGTTTGTGTGAAAATTTTGGCTTGCGGGCTGAGCTGGGATTGAATTCGAGCTAAAAGCGAGCAAGCAAATGAACAAATTCACACTGCTCACGAACAAACCGAACAATATTGAGCCGAACACGAACACTCTTTACGAGCCTAATTCTAACACAAGACGATTTTGAACAAATGTTAATGCAAACAAACCGAAAAAAAAAAGAATCTCAGCTTGCTCATATTTCGCTCGTTTGCACCCCAATCTCTGGTACTGCTATGGAGTATAAGAAGAAAACTCTCTAGCAATGCCTATCACATGTCGAGATGTACCAGAATCTATTATCCATTCTGATGAT